TAATTTATAATTTCAGACAATATACACACAATATATAATAATTATAGTAATAATGTAATAATTATAGTAATATACAATGATATACTTTCTAGATTTATATATGTATATATATACATATATTATTCATATAAATATAATATAAATTATTTATGTAATATATATATGTATATATAATTATCAAATATACATATTAATATTAATTTACAAATTGTATAAAAGAAATTTTTGTTTAAAGTAAATATATTTTTAAATTTTATTTAAATATCATTATTCTTTACATTAGATTTTATAATGTTAAAATTGTCATTGTTATTTCAATAAATAATGTTCTCTTCTTTTTTCTTTTTTTCTTTGGTTCTTTCTTTTTTTTTTGTACGCACAAGTATTACTTACACATATAACTTTTATAATTGTAATCATTAAAAAAATATATTATATATATTATATATTAAATATGAATGAAATATATAAATGATATAAATAATAAACACACATATACATATCTGAACATTATATCTAACAAAAAATTGAAAAATGTGATGTTTATAAAGATATAAAAATGCGTTTGGTATAATTATAATGTAGTATAATTAAATAATAAAATTGAAAAAGAATATAATCATTTGTTTTATAAACGTTATAAATTATATATAATTATATAAAATTGTATAAAATTATATATATTAAAATTATATATAAAATTATACAATTATATATAATTGCTTGAAGTAATAATAAAAAAGAAATAATGAATCGATGATTAGTATTAATAATTACATTTATAGATCAACTATTAAATGATATAATTATTAAATCAATTATAGGATTTAAATTTGATATTTGACAGTTTATTATGTTTAATAAGAAATATTTCTTAATCGATAACTTTTGGTCGATAATTTAATATCAACGAAATCTTTTGCGCGCCATAATAATGTTTAGCAAGAATGCAAATGTCCAAGCAAAGAAATTGAACCATGTTGCAATAATAGCTAACCGGAAAGCAAAACCAGTATCAATCTCTTTATTCATTATCCACTTATCATTATTTGTCATATCCGCTTGTAAATAATCCATAAAATCAAAGATCGCTCCGCAAGAAAGTCTGTTACGAATAACCTGTAGAAAGAAAAGGGAAGAATGTAATCATTGTGCAAAAGAATGAGACGAAGATAAAGAAAAGAATTGTACTTTTCTGAATAATATATATCATTAAGTTCTACCTCGGCTTCACGTCCGGAATTTAAAAGATATATTAATCTTTTTCTACATTGCTCACAACTTTTGTAATAACCATCAGTCATCACTATTGCATGAGCCAATGATAAACAGCAAAGTAATACTGTAAGGAACACAGCAGGTATCCATTGTTTATATGGAGTTCGATTTTTAGATCTTATCAGCACTGTTGTTGTTGCTTTGCTACTGTTTAAATTTCTGCGAAGAAATAGAATATATAGAATGATTCTAATTTCTAATAATTTAAACTATATTCATATATGAATGAATTAATATTATTCGAATTTTATGCAAATGTAAAACTATACATATATATATATGGTACATAGAATAAAAATTGATTTTTAAATGATATCAATTTCCGTACCTGTTAACATTGTTATAGACTTGTATAGGCGTATCTAAATTTCTATTAATGCAACTTCTATATCCATGATATGCACCGAGACATAAACCGATTACAATTATAGGAATCAAACCGTATACGCTAAAATGGCAAAATTTTTCATCACCTCCCATAAAACTAGCGAAAGTATTGATACTATATAATATGCAGCCGCAGTTGATGTTATCGCAAACATCCAAGGTATATGTCCAATATTGCCAAATGGTGACCAAACAGGTCAAAGATGTTACCGATAAAATTGCACAGGAAATATATAACACGCTAAGTATTTGTTCCGCTTGTTCTTCTTTCATTTTATTTCTTTGATAAAAAAACAAATGAGAATTTATAAATAATAATATAATAAATCTAATCCAAATAATGTACTTAATAACTTGATATTCATTTCTTTGATTTCTAAATATCGATTATATCTTCCTAAAATATGCTATTTCATTTTTATTATCTTCTTCGTCTATTTAATTTTCTTATTATTATACTTATTTCTTCAAAAATCTTTCTTCACATATATTGATCATTATATTCTCATTATATATGTGTTCATAATTTTAAATTGATTCGTTTAAATTTCAAGAAATGAAAATTTGAATTACTATTAAAGATTTTTAGAAAAGATTTCTAAAGCACGATTTTGCTTTGAATGTTTTTAATTCTATCATATTAAAATGATCGAATAAAATACATTTAAAAAGTGCTAGAATAAAATAGCGATCAAATAGAAGTGTAAAAAAAAGAAAGAAAATAGATATTGATACTATAAGAAAGAATAGAAAATAATATGTAGAGAAAATGAAAGTGAGTAGGAAAATTATTCACTTTGAAAAAAAATTCATTATATATTAAAAATATTGGAAAATTGATAATTAACACACGCATATACATAAAAGCGAATTTACAATTTTATTTTAAATATTTTTTATTTTATATTTATTTTAAATATGCATCAATCAATGGATGATTCAATAAAAGATACTAAAAACTATAGTATTTATATCGATTTAATGGTTGAATTTATTTCATTTTTCAAAACAGTTTTTCAAAAGTTGAATTTAAAATATAAAATATTAGAAAAAAAAAATATTAAACTTATCAGTAATGATTTAAAAAAATAGATTTATATATATATATATACATATAATATATTAAAATATATTATATATATAATATACATATAATTTCAATATATTCATAAGTAATAGAATTTGCTATATCAGATTCTGATATATAATTTCATTAAATAAATTAAACTCAGTTTGATTTTTTTTTTAGAAAATTAATTTCTTGATATAAAAAACAAATTATAATTTTGTACATATAATAAATTAAAAATTTAAAAATCGAAATATTTATTAATTATGATATTACTTAAATGATTTTATTATATTTTAATTAAAATATTACTCTAAATGATTTTCAGTTCATTATTTTTTATTTTTATATCGCAATCGTATTAAAACTTATTACAATGATCATAATATGTGTTTCAATATAATCATAGTTACTAAAACTACTCATATCTATTTTTTCATAATGTGATATTTTTGTGGCATAATTGAAAAAAATGTTTAATATCTTACCTTAGTTTGATATATAAATTTATTTGGTAAATCTTTTAACGTTGCACTTTATGAAAAAAAGTTTCTTTCTTTTTTTTTTCTTCTCTTTATAAGATTGTAGTTCCAAAATATATTTCTCTGCTAAATATTTTCTTTTTGCCGACTGGTAGACTTTAACATTGAAATATTTTTAAATATTTATGAATACCGCCTGTTTCTTGTTCAAATAAGCTGAGAATTTTTTATTAATATTTATCGAAGCAATATTTCTATATGTAAGCGTCAAAAATTGCATTAAGTAAAATGCTTAAATATTTACTTCTTATTATTTATAATAAAAAAGTTTGTGTTTCATAAAATATTTTTAACTAGTATTAAATTGACGATTACAATATATGATAATATATGACAATATAATAATATCAATAAAAAATTATTATCTTTGTTTTACTCATTTCGTATTTTTACCGATTTATATTATTACATATGTATATTATGTACATACTTTTAATGACATCAATTATAAGTAATAATATTCCTGTTCACATTTTCTCTTTCTTCTAATATAAATCAGGTTAAATTGTATGACTGATGAAACACGAGAATGTTTGAGATAAACTTTGATAAGATTATCATGCCTTACTGACATTCGATAGTAATCCAGATATTACAAATTCTACATTTTGTCATATTATTTGTGTGTGTGTGTGTGTGTGTACATCATACATATATATACATATATATGTATGTATAATATAATATAATATAATAAATATATGTATTTAAAAGAGAAATTAAAATAGAAATTAAAATAAAATAATTACTATTATAATATATATAAAACACATGCACAAAATATGCGCATATATATAATAGTGCTACAGATTTTTCTTTATTTGTATTGCATATTGATTTGATTTATTTTTACTAAAACGTTTATATTCTATAAAATCTTCAAATATGATTTTCTATATACAAAACAATTTGCTTTCGTTGTGTGAATTTCTAGTAGCTTGAAATCTCGTTCCTCCTATATATTATTTAGATCTGTAAAAAAGAAGTAATATATCTGTGAGAATAACATCGTATTCGTAATTTATATCGTATTATGCATGCAATGCATGTATCAGAATATTTATAATAAATTTTTATTTAATTTTTATATTATGGGAAAACAATAGTAAAATTTGTTTTATTTAATCAGTTTATTTCGCTCTTTTTATTTTTTCTCTGGATTTTCTTTTCCTCTTCTCTTTCAAATTTTCTTTTTTCTTTTATTTTTAATAAGTTAATAAAAGTCATATAAGTTTCTGGAAAATAGAATATAGCTAAAATGTAGTACAAATTGTTACTACAAATGCAATTTTCTTAATCTAACAATAAAAATTATATAAATATCTATCAAGATTATAAATATATATCAAAACGTAATTTATTTTCGTTTTTATAGAATCAAATATCTATATATGCATATATTGAATATTAATTTCATCAAAGAATATAATACATATTTGAAGAATAATAAAAATCAATTTTATATATAACATTATGCTATATATTAATAATAATGATATATAAAGAATATATATTATAATAAGGAAAAAAAATAATTATTATAAACTCAACAAAGCTATATAGTATTTTAACAATAAGAATGAAAAAATATAGGAATAGATAAATTTTTTGTAATAAACATGTTAAAATGATAAACAATTGACTTAAATATGTAGTTAAATACATTTACATGTTTGGAAACAGGAATGGTAAAATTAATCACCTTTGGTAACCTTTGTAAAAATAATCATTCATATATAATTTATATCAATTACAGAATGCAAACCCTTCTATCATTCCTTTGTTAGTACTACTAAGAAATTTAAATCACTATAAGAAAAATATTTAGGAATATTCAGAGTTTTTGCTGTTACACACAGTCTTACGCTGGATTTATATTGCGATGCCTCAATTCCAGTAAGGCTTCTCGATTAGTCCATAAGCAATATACAGATGCTATTCCTAGTCCTATACAACCACCCAATGCACACTTTTTTAAGCCAGCTAAAAACAATTAATCATTATTTATACAATAATAATTTTCAATTTAAATTATATATAATATATATTATTTAAATGTAACATACTTGTAGATTTGAACAACATCCCTGTTCCAGTTGCTGCTACTAATGTATTTAAGGAATCATCTGTACCTCTGACCCAAGATAAAAGCACACCAAATCCACTATACATCACAGATACTATTCCAAATGTATTTGCTAACGAGGATCCACTTTTCATTACATGATTGATTAATCTATAAAAAAAAAATTATTTATAATTTAATAATGTTATATAAGAATATAAAATTTTTCATTTTAATACAACTAAAAATTCTTGAATACATACTGTGTTCTTCTAAGTTTACCAGTTTGGTCAGCTAAAGATGTTGCTTTAATGCCTCTATACAAACCAGTAGCACCTCCAATACCAGCTCCTATAATACATGCTGCACCAATCTGACTAAAAGCCAATTCAAATCTTCCTCTTTGTTTTGCTGCTCCTTCCGGAAATATATATTCTGGTTGGCTTGGAGGAAGATATGCAGGATCAAAATTTAAATAGGGACTAAGTGGCGCTAATCCTTGTTGTGATGTTACTGGAAAACAATATAAAATGTAAAAAAAAAATGTTTAATTTTGATATTAATTATTAAATGTTTATTGATATATATGAATATATCAATAAATATATAATTATATAATTAATATATAATTATATACATATGTACAATACATACAAATACATTTATAAATCGATTTTGCAATTTTATATAATTTTTTCAAAATGAAATAAATAAATTATAATATATTTAAAAATTCTAATATTATAAAAATTTTATTACATATATTATATATTTTGTTGTATATGTTATATATTAATTCAATATATATATATATATATATATCATATCATTGAAATTGAATTCTTTAAACAATATAAATAATAATATAAATATTTTTGTTCATATAAATAATATTTTTTATAAAAATTATTATGAATAAAAATTATATTATTAATCATTAAATAAATATTAGTTCTAATTACCATACTTCTATACTTATTTTTTAAAATAAAATTTCGATATATTAAAGTTATCATATTTTCTTTTTTTACTTAATTGTTTATCTACTAATATAAAAAGTTTAATTTATCACAATGTTTTCATTTATGAGATACATTACACAATTATATAAATTACACAAGAATTTTTTTTATATTAAAAATATAATAACGAAGTATTATTTCATATTATAAATGTATTGAGGTTATACATAATCATATTTAATTAATTATACATATTTCGTATGTTATATCAGTCAATATAAATAAATTATAAATCTCAATTTTTTCTACTATAAAGTAATATTATATATGATAAATAAATTATATCATACATAATATAATTATATTACTCCCTTCTAAATTCATGCAAATTATGCATACTATTATTTTAATCATTAATTTTTTTAATTTACCTGGTATATTTAAATTGCTATATTTTCCACCATTTATTGTATTTTTAGCATTCTCATCACGTAAATCTATCATTTTCGATGTTAGACTGGATAAAATTTTGATTTACACTATTATCACGTTACACTCGTGAACAGAGATCGCGTTCACACGTTTTCTAAAATTAGTTTAAATCATTTACTCTGAATATGTCGAGAATCATATTCTCTAACTCAAATGTTCACCGCGTTAATATATGTAAATAATTATAATAAAAACTAAAACATATCTCTGTAAAGATTAAAGATTTTATAAAATATGTTAAATTGATTTTGAATATAATTATATAATTTTTGCATATATATTATTTAAAATTGTATATATAAATCTAATCAATCTATATAAAATTATTAATTTAAATGCAATGTAAAAAAATATAAATAAAAATAATGATGATAAAAATTCTCTTCTTCTTAATGAATTAAAAAATATAAATAATAAATGTATTATATATATAATAAAATAAATTTTTTAAATTTATTAT